CGCATGCTTAGCTTTTCTAACACAATACTGAATCTTGAAATTTTGAAAAAAAGCACAATATGATAACACTGTTGTAGGCCAATTGTGCATGAAGATGCAGCTTATATCATTACTCTCCTTTCACATGTACTTTTTCAATTAGGCAAAAGAGAGCTGCCACATGACGCATGCCTTGCTAAATCAAAAATCATTGGGTAGAGGACTATTTACTGCCAACCGCCCACTACCTCGCGAACGACTGGTCCTTTAAATTTGTTTGTCACTGTTAGAGGTAGTGGAACATCGTGATGAGAATGACCCTTAGAGTAAGTTAATAAACACTCAAAACTTTGCTTAGGAGAAAAAGCCAGCTTACGACATTTAAAAACAGTGAAAATGGAAGAATTGTCCGCGAAGGCGAAGCCTAATGACGGCAGAAACTCCTCTACCCAAAATCTTTTTTGTTTTCAATTCGATGTACGATACGCAGTTGCACACACTGTATAAGAGACACTGCCGTTCCAAGTAATCTTAGCTTAAATGATGTTAATGAGCTCTTGGTTAGTTTGTGTTGTTTCCAGTTGTTGTAGTCTTTTCTAGCGTTTCCACTCAAGGTTTTTAATTTTAATGACAAGAAATTAGGTTACCAACCGCTAAATCCTAGTTTTGATGACACAATGAAGGATTAAACACCGTCATAAATTAAAACAGCTAAAACTGCTGTAAAACGAGACATACGATTTCGCGAAGAGACTTCTCCATTTTATTTACAGATTTCGACGGAGATGATCACCTTGGGCATGATGATTTGAGTAAAATGATTCGAAGTTTAACGAGAGACGAGCTGACTGATGAAGAAGTAGAATTCATAATTGAAAGGGTGAGTACTACACTTTCGAGTTTCAGTTCAAAAAGATCATAGTTACTGTAGATCATCGAAGAAGCCGATCTCGACGGTGATGATCGAATCAACTACGCCGAATTCGAGCACGTCGTCTCGCGATCGCCCGATTTCATTCGAACATTCCATATCAGGATATAAATGGCGGTTATCCAATGTATAAAATGAGGCCTTGCCTATGCTTTTGAGCAGTCCTGATGACTTGCAACTTCGATGAACCAACTTTATCAATAGCTTATAATCACTGCGCTTGTAAATAAACAATTCTCTCAAACAACAAGCTAAACATGACATTGAAAACTAAGAAAATCTCGTAGAAGTACTGTGTCCACAAAAAATCCTACTTCGTATGATATCACTAATTGGCTGGTTTCACAGGTACCTTTCCAATATTCTGGTAAAGCGCTAATGCTTGAGCCACCATTGAGCTTGGCTCACTTAGGTTTGCTGGCAACACTACCGTATTTGTATCCTTGGCAAGTTTCTCAAATGCTGTGACGTATTGTTCCGCAACGCTAAGGCTGGCAGCGCTATCTCCTCCCTGAAATCGTTAAGAATAAGGAGCAAATGATATATACGATAATACAAATTTTCCTAAAAGCAGGGTACAGTCAAAGAAATCCATCTCAATCGATAAAATGATAATGGCGGTAAGCATCTTGCTGGTTGAACGCCTGTTTTCTAGTTAAGGTTTACGATTTGCATCACGCTAGGGAATCAACATGAATCATACCAAAATCAATAAATCAATAATCAGTAAATCACGCAAACATTTGGCTAGCAAGCAAAAACCATGCAAAAACGGATACTTTCTGACTAAGTATATAAATGCCCATCTTCGCTTTTCGCAAAGGCCTCATTATTGCTTCCATCCGTTTTCGCCTCTCGCCAGCAAATCGTTAAAGTAGACATTGAGCTCATATGCAAATTGCGGAGTCAAATGGATGTTGAGGGGTCAGTCAAGCTTCGGAAAACTTCGTTCTAGTGCTCTAAAGGTTCAGAGAGCCTTCAACAAGCCGCAGTGTCAGGCAACGTCTCTCCTACGTAGCAGAGCGCTGGGAGAAGATTGTATCGAACTGGTGAGCTTGAAGCTCTCTGTTTGTCAGTTGGCCAGCGACTATCCTTAAAAGAACGAAATCGACCCATATTGCTCTTCACCTTCTGTTACTTCTTTTCGTTTTCCATGCTCATTCAACACCAGATAT